CTTACTAAAAGGGATAACAGTACCTGATAAGCCACCATCTTTAGAATTTGTTTTCTAAAAAGTTGAAAAGGGGTTCTCCAACGTCCCTTCATAAATTCTATTTCTCCGTCCAGATAGAAATTGTCTGACTTTTCCATGGTCTAGAGCAAAAAAAAGAATACAATGACTTTTCATAACCCAGGGTTCGTTGATGTATTTGAACTGACAATCCAAGCGTTTTTTTACTTTTTTTTTCTCTTTTCTTTTGAAGGATCAATGCAACGAGTGTAATCACTTGCCTGGACTAAGGGCACACACGACTTCATTGAAAATCCTCAACCCTGAAGCTGGGACAGGCAAGAACCCAGGCGCCTTGCTCCTTCAACGCGATTTGATCGATGACGTCAACAAATGGCACCGACAATCAACTCGTTCCCAGCCCCTGAGGTGTGCTTCGCGCTCGACCAGGATGGAACGGCTAGGGAATTTACTGAAGATGGGATAAAATTGGACTCCTTGGCTTTTTCCCAAAATTCACTTCCATACTTTTCCTTGGTCTAGAATAGCTGACAAACTGTCTCATCTTTATATACTTGTTATGAATCCTGCTTGTACATGACAAACTTTTTGAATGATATCAAATACCCTTAGAATGAGACAGATTGGGTAAGAAAATATGAAACGGGAAAGGATGGAGGGGAAGCAGCAATGTACAGTTACGTTGTGGAGAAAAGCTTTGAATGTAAAGGAAAGAATTGGAGTAGCACAAGAAAAACGTTCTAATTCAGTACAGCTAGCAGCAGTCAGGGGGTAAGGAGTGAAAATTCCTGGAAGGTACCCACAGGAATTTGATGGGCGTGGTGGGATGTCTCAAATACTAAGACCTAAGAACCCCACGCACCCACCCACCCCCCTCCTCTTCCAAATCTCAAGAACTAAGACCTAAGACCTATGATCGAAGACCTAAGACTTAAGACCTCCTCCGAATCTCAGAAACTAAGATGTAAGACCTAAGATCGAAGACCTTAGGCTTTACATCTTAGTTTTTGAGACAGCTGTGCATGGTGGACTTAATTTGCTAAATGCCTGATTGAACAGCCTGGGTTTGGACACTGGGCGGGTTGTTGTAGCATTTCATTCACACAGTGGACCACTAGATTTGAACCTGTTGGGTATAAATGGCTAGGACTTGAAGGAGTGGTTGGAGGTGGGGGGTTGGTAAGCTGTGACACACACATTCTTTCGAAAAGGAATACCTAGCAGTACTATTAGTCGTTTGTATCACAACTGGCGAAAAGGATCGCACCTGGCTAGCCTTCTGACAACCCCTGATTTGTAGGATATGAACCAAACCTTGTTCAATGGCTGCCTACCCCAAGGAAATAGCCATATCTCTTCACATGCCTTTCTCCATCTCCCTCAATTACTGGATTTACTGCACAAATGAAAATTCATAAATGAGCAACAACCAAGNAGAATTCAGATAGTAAATTAAATATGATCAGCTCTTCTATGAGATTTTTCTGCAATAACTGATATTTTCAGTAACCCCTGTTCAGCAAACTGATGGTCAGAAGTTCTTAATGTAACCCAAATATATTGACTCAGTGAACGAGGAATATAATTTGCATGTACAAATGACAATACTGGCCGTCGTTGACATTTTTCAGTAACATATCTTGTTTAGCGCCGACTAACTAGGACAAGAAAATTAAATCAATTTTACAACCTACAACATTACGCTCGAGCACAATTTTTACCTTGAGAAGGATGTAGAATCCATTTGCTGCGCAACATCTTGGTTTCTTTAAGCACGTGCTCTCAGAGTTTGCCTGAAGCAAAGTTCCTATGACAGGTTTTTGTGTTTCGTCACAGCTCCAAGCGTAAAGGCCATCTTCAACTGAAGCTTGGTACTCCTTCGAAGCAATAAGCAAAGCCAAAGGTGGATTTCTGCAAGTTTAAGTTTCAACATGGACATTTCACCTACGAACGAAATGAACGCGAGAAGAAAATTCATCATACGCATAATTTGCAATTATAATTTCGTAAAGTTTGCAAACACACGCCAAGTAGAATGCACTTACCTGATTGGCTCGTCTTCTTATGTTTCGTATTGTAAGTGAGCGCGGGAATTATTCAAATTGTCCTCTTAGAAATGATATTTGGTTTTAAACCATAATTTTTTTTTCAAAAGATTACAAAATTAACTAGAATTTATCTTTGGCTAATATTAGTCCTCTTTAAAGCACACGAAAAGGGTGGTTGCTAGCTTTCAAAGTTTTTTTGGGGGTGGGGATGGTACGGCTGGAGAAAGAGGAAGCTTCTAGAGGGAAAGAGGCGCTTACTTTGATTCCTAAATCAGCCTGTAAAGGATGGAGGGGAAGCAGCAATGTACAGTTACGTTGTGGAGAAAAGCTTTGAATGTAAAGGAAAGAATTGGAGTAGCACAAGAAAAACGTTCTAATTCAGTACAGCTAGCAGCAGTCAGGGGGTAAGGAGTGAAAATTCCTGGAAGGTACCCACAGGAATTTGATGGGCGTGGTGGGATGTCTCAAATACTAAGACCTAAGAACCCCACGCACCCACCCACCCCCCTCCTCTTCCAAATCTCAAGAACTAAGACCTAAGACCTATGATCGAAGACCTAAGACTTAAGACCTCCTCCGAATCTCAGAAACTAAGATGTAAGACCTAAGATCGAAGACCTTAGGCTTTACATCTTAGTTTTTGAGACAGCTGTGCATGGTGGACTTAATTTGCTAAATGCCTGATTGAACAGCCTGGGTTTGGACACTGGGCGGGTTGTTGTAGCATTTCATTCACACAGTGGACCACTAGATTTGAACCTGTTGGGTATAAATGGCTAGGACTTGAAGGAGTGGTTGGAGGTGGGGGGTTGGTAAGCTGTGACACACACATTCTTTCGAAAAGGAATACCTAGCAGTACTATTAGTCGTTTGTATCACAACTGGCGAAAAGGATCGCACCTGGCTAGCCTTCTGACAACCCCTGATTTGTAGGATATGAACCAAACCTTGTTCAATGGCTGCCTACCCCAAGGAAATAGCCATATCTCTTCACATGCCTTTCTCCATCTCCCTCAATTACTGGATTTACTGCACAAATGAAAATTCATAAATGAGCAACAACCAAGCACAAGAGCAGTCACAACAACTCAAAGGATGAATGACAGGTAAACCTGTTGAGTGGTGGCCATTTTAAATTTGTATACACAATTATCTGGTGTGAGGTCTGGAACCGGGAAATGTTTCAAAACTTAACTGCTCAGAACAATTCCTGGTGCCTGATCAGATGCCTGAGAATATCCAAATACTGTCGGCCATCTCAGACATTTTAATTTTTTCTGCCCCAGACCTTGTATCAGAGGACTGCATATTTAAAACTTAAAATGTCTGTCATGAACTAAAAAGATGTATTGTCTCATCTATTTATCCTCCAGTTGTCTCTCTTGATTGAAAATCCGTAGGGAAAGAAGAATGCAAAGAATGCAACCCGGAAAGAAGAATGCAGTTCACTCTCAAAGTCATGCACGCATGCTCACTTGTTTTGTGTTCTTCCCCACGGATTTTCAAGGAAAAGTGAGACTGCTCGCAATCTAATTTGATCTAAGAGCTCCGTTGGCCAAGCAGAGACATTACATAACTTGTTTGAAAAAATGGATCCTCTGTATGATATAGTTTTTCATATAATAAGTTTCAAAACGTTGTACGCTAACACGATGTTGATGACGGAGATCATACTTAGACTCTTTCCTTTGGATTACATGTTCCTTTTCTGTATGAAAGAATGGGAGGGTCTTTAAATATTTCTCTAAGCACAAGTTGATTCTTTATTAGGTGCCACTTTGTCATCAGAATATTCTTAAGATTAGGCACAGAAGTGCGATATTATGTAACAAAAGGTAAAATTCTTTTGCGCATCTTAATTATTTTGTAGTGCTGACAGTTTATTACTAAATTTAACTTCTGAAAGAATCGTCTCCGAAAGATTATCTGGATGACCCCTCGCTCGCAATCTTCGTTTTAATTGTCCAATGTTTTCTTCAAAGGTTCTCTTCGAAGAGTTAGTTCTAAGCACCTTTAAGGAAGCCTTTTCTGACACCTGGATGGTGACAGGAGGAAAATTCTGTGAATCGGAAATATTCTGTCGGTTTAAAATGTGTGCGCACATCAAGAATAGATTCCCTTTTGAATCTTTCGCCCTTATAGATACATGTATCCAGTAAGGTTATTTTTGTCTGAAATCACAGCCGTAAATTTTATGATCGGATGGTGATTGTAAGCTAGTTCTATATGTTCTACCCAGCAGGCTCTATGCTGGAACCCTCAGGGCAAGAGGACGAGGGGTTGCCCAGGGAACTCCCGGAGAAGGGGTGTGGAGTCTGTAATGAGGAAGTGGGAGCACACCTGGAACACGATAGGAAGGCTTGCCCAGGACAGCAGCCGATGGAGAACTGAACTGGTCAACGGCCTATACTCCAGCTGGAGCTAAGGGGCAAATCATCATCATCATCATCATCACTATGTATATTTAACAAATAGATTCCATTGTTGTCACGCACCTGTTCATTAATAGCTCACATATGACATCAAACTGTGGTAAGAACAAAGAGTAACACATGAGCCATTAGGTGAGTGGGCCACTGATGTTCTTACCACATTTTTATGTCTCCTGAAATCTAAGTTAATAAACAGACTGACAGTAACATAGAATCTACTTGTTTTATATGGTAAAAAACAACAACAAAATTGTAAATGACGTCATCTATATGTCCATCTCCCAATAGATTATAAGTAAGAATCAATCAAACTACAAGAAAAATTGGACATAAAATTTATTAGATGCTGCAAGCTATTCATTCAAAAGTGCTAGAATTCACTGTTATTCAGTACAACTCTGGTCTCCTTTTTTTTATGACACATTAATGTATGGCTGTGTCTCACAAGGACTGGGAACTACCAAATTAACAAATTTGATTGGCTAAAATTGGTATAGATTTTCCCATCTAGACCAACATCTAGACCAGTAATGTTTTGCGGTGAGAAAGTTGCAAACTAAAATGCAAAAATATTGACTCTTTCCTCTAAAAATACTTATTTATCGAAGTACAAAAGGCCTGATGAGAAAAAAAGTAAACAGGACGAGAAAACTCTGGCAGAATTAAGTTCAGCTCATCGCCGTTCACAAGAAAAATGTCAGTTACCTACAAAACAGTTATCACAGTTACATTATACAAATTAAATTGTTCTTGTTTGCCACATAACAAACATCTTATTAACCGAGCTTAATCAGTTTGTATGGGAGAATCTTGACTTCAGTTGTGTGTAGAGACCTCACTGTGCATGTTCAGTCTGTACTCACGACCTCAGTCAGGAATCTCCTATACAGACCTCCTGCTCGGTTAATAAGAGCTAAATGATAAATTAGCATCAGCTTAAGTTCATTTCGTATTAAATAAGTTACCAACAACAGAAGTCTCTTGGTGTTATTTCCTGACTGTCAGCAACATAAAATGTAGGTAAATTCAAATAAATTGACTTATCATGACTTAGATCTAGAATTGGTGTGAAAAAGGCTTGAAGCAACATAAATAAAAACCTTGGTAAATAATTAATCCTGGCATAGTCTAAATAATAATAAAATAAAAATAATTTGATGATAGAACTTTGTACCATCAGGATCTAGTGTGTTAGCATTCATTCCAAATTAAATTCATGAGCAGTACTGTCATGTGGTATTTGTTTGCAATTTCAAATTTAACACTGTAAAGCATGAAAGATTGAAAGCTATTAACAATATAATAATCCTGTCCAGATTTATTTCTTCCAAGCAAGTCGACGGAAATACAATGGAAATCCATGAAAAGATGCCTTGGGCTCCCTCAAAACCTTTTCAAGATCTGCTTGGTTGGAAAATCGGACGATACAGATCATTTTCTTAGTAAAGAAGACTCCATTTAACACTATCCTGAAGGTTTCTTCAAAGTATTTGTTTACTTCTTTAGGCCTTGTGACATGAGGGAGCCCTTCTACTGAAAGCCTCAGCTCTCTCGCCTCCTCAGGAGGAAGAACATGCATGCTTCTATACCTTGAAACTTGGACCTCAGAGCCATTTATAACAAGATCCTTAGTTTTTAACATTTTGCCAACTATGGCTTCATCTAAGAATCGAACAAAAGCTGTATTGGAATCTTTTTGCAAGTAAGATCTCTTACCACCTTGCACAATAAAGTCAACGGACTGAACATCGCCATATTGTTGGAAGTAATCTCTTAAATCCTCGACAGTTAAATTGTCTGGTACTGAACTAATAGTAAGGCAGTTTGTTCTTCCAGTATACTTCATTGTCACTGGGGAAACCTTTTCTAGGGCCACAACTTGAGAATCAATGTTCTGCTCAGCAATCCGCTGGTTTGGTTCTTCCAGGGCGTTTGTGGCACCAGACAAGGTTGAAAATAAGACATAATAACTGTTGAGTTCATTATCACCTTCCTTAGCCAAAATCACTCTGTCTACTCTTCCAAATTGAGAGAAATGTCTTGCAATTGTTTCCCTGTCGATGTCTTTCATAATGTTAGTCACAAGCACTGTCAGGTCTCTCTTGTGATTAGCAACGTTCTTCCGCTTGTTCAATGCAGCTTCTATCTTCACGTTTCGGTTATCGATGAAGTGAGATTCAGCCAGAACTCTTTCAACGCTTTTGACATCACGGAAAGTTACAAATGCAAACCCTCGAGACAAATTGGTAAACTTAGTACGAAAGAATTCCAACGCCTCAATTTCCCCATATTGCGAAAAATATTTGCATAACTTATCTTCGGTGGTGTAGTTTCTTCCCCTCAAAAGATTTCCAATGAAGATTTTTCTGTTCTCTGAAGTCTCGCTGTTGTCTTTGCGTTTTAGATCTTCTTCCTCTTTGGGTGTTACGTCATAATTTGGACTTGACGCAGACGATTTCTCGCTGAATTTGGACAAAGCAAGACCTCTCTTCTGAAAATGTTGCATTGGCGAAGAAGCTAAATGTTGAACGAACGAAAGCCTCCAGGTAGACCTATGACATTGTGAAATTATCAACGTTGATCGCCACAATCGAGACATGTTCGACAGCATGTGTGTTATCAGCGCCATTTTGATTATCTCTTGCGACTGCAGTTGCTGACCAACAAGATCGCGGCTTCGGGAGAAGGCATTTTCGTACCCAGTACTCTACGTCGTTCTTGACAACACAGTTGTGATACGGTGGGAAATGTTACAGAAAGTTGCCTGGATTCATTTTCAACAATATCTATTCGTTATGCATTATTTAATTTCTTTTTATATGCTATTGTTATACTTAATATTTTTTTTTTTTTTAATTTGAAAACTAGGCTAAAGCCGGTTTGCTAAAACACTCCCATGGAAAGGCAAAGTATTGTGGTTTGCAAACAACTTGATACAGCGTTGTATGCATCTAGAAAAAAATCATGTTTTATTCTCAAAGCCAACTTTGAGCAGCAAAAAAATACCGATTATGTTTTCAATAATTAATATTCAAATGTCAAATGGCACTTTTAAATTGCCATTCTTTTCAGTCTGAAAATAACATTTGAAACATCGAAACACTGGAGTACAGTACAATTTGTAAACGAACATATGATTATGATTATTTTTTTGTTTTTATTATCATTTTTATTTGCTTTTCTTTTTCAGAATGAAGCTAAAGGTTTCATGGTTTTAGCCTTCGTGTAAGTCTTTGTAGACTTGCCACAAGTCGACCTTTGCTTAATCCTTCGCTTATTTTCAGTGGAAAGGACTTTTAGAAAGCCTAATTGTCTCTGACAACGTTATCAAATAACACTTTACTGTGTGAATTGCCAATAAAATTTATTCCACCGTTTTAGCCAAGTTATAGTCATGCAAAATCTTTTTATGTTGTTTTTATTTTTTTTATTTTTGTTCGTTCCGAACATTTTTATTAGTTCATCAAACGCGTATTTTATTTCAAATCGAATTAAATGTGTACAATGGACCATAAAAAACCAGAGGTGATCAAATCAAGCATTACTTATCACTATCAAATTGCGAATTGCTCAAATTTCTCCTCCTTTGTTTCGTCTAAATTCGATTAAATCATTCGCACTTAATTTATTCAGAATCGCTGTCGACGAGATTATCAGATTGTGTCTTTTAACACAAAGGCCATGGAAAAATAATTTCCTAATCTATACATAAGCGCGGTGCTTTTAAGAACTCGTAACTCATTCATTATAATATCTACCAATTACAATGAGTATTTCATATTTCTAATTTGTGACAGTCGTGAATAATTTAGGTTAATGTATTCGTAGTTCCGCCGGATCACCTGCTGTCCATGCACGCTTACGAAGGGAGCTTTGAGAAATCAGAGTCGCTTTTGATGAAACGCGTTACGAAAAAACTTCGACAACTAAGATGCTGGCTGTTTCATTTCTGGGCAAGAAATTTAGCTGCGATGCACAGTTTGAGGTATGTAATAAGGTTTACGCTCGCGATATGCTGCCCATCTACCCTCAAATTTGAATATTACCTCGAGTATACACAAATGTCATGACAAAGATTATATATTTTCAATTTACAGTTATATCTTCGAGTGATTTACCCATAAGCAGGACCTGTACAACATCAACTTGCCAAAAGCTTAGGTTGCCGTTTAAAACAACGCTTTAACATCCATATTTCAAATTGATGAAAACTTGTGGTTTCTCCCGACTGTTTCAAAATCTCATTTTATACTTAAGTACATGCTAGCGAAATTGAATTGTCACAAAGTATGTTTTGCTCCCGTAGGGAAGATTGTTGTGGCAGTTAACGCGACTCGGGTGGATATTTTGAAGAAGCATATTAGAGAGAAAGATATTTTTCCTTGCTAAATTATTACATTTATTCTATTGGTTTTATTTCTCCAGCTAAAAGTGCTAAGTGAAAACTCCGGATATTTCGTCGAGCGTTGCAATTTTCTTTTTTCAAATTAATTGATGGAGCGATAACAGCTTTTGTGCCATGAATACTTAATAAGCGTTTGTTTTTTATTAAAATTTCATTTCGACGGTCCAGAGTCAGGAAAAAACACAAATTTTGAAATCTGGGATAGGCCTTCTTCAAGCGCAGTGACTTTAGTAAACAGGAAGAAAACAAACATGGAAACACTGCTGTTTTAATTAACATGCCAAGATTGCCTTCGCCTGGGCGTACAGCTGGCCAAGAGCTAGTAATTTTTAGCTCGCGCTGATTTTTATCTCCCCTCCATATTACAATTTCACATTTACCAATTATCCGATAGATGAAGCCGACAGCAATATCGTGTAGCTATTAGCATTGTAGCAGTGATTAACAGGTTTGGTTATCAAGCTGCTTTCGAAAAAAAAAAGGCTCAAAGAAAACTGAAAAACTCTCTTTCTGTAGATCAGTCCAAAAAAATTTATTTACGACTGATATAAAAAGACCAGATCGAATGCATGTCGGTACCGTATTGTAAATACTTATGAAATGACTGACAAATGAAAAAAAAAAAAAAAAAACATGAACGTGGGGGAACTTAAAGAAAAAAGTATGGAAATTGGGAGGTTTAAATCTCCTTCCTTGCATGCGGCTGGCGCCTGAGATTTGAATTGGCCAATCAAGATTAAGCAGGCGAGAAAACACTGTATTGTCCTGACATCAATGTATGTTTACGGGAAAAGCATTAAAGTCAGGCAACTTTTCTCACTGGAGACGGCATTAGTGAATATACACGAAAAGCGATTTATGATTCAAAAAAGCATACCAGATCCTAGCTAAAAAATGAAGAATATGAAAATGTATGTCTCCAAGCTTTTAATTAGGCGCCAAAACTGGGTCGCCTGCGTTCGGTAACTCGCTCGTCGCTCTTCGAGTGTCGCCAGGTAGTTTTGTTACTTTGAACAAAATATATTTTTTTCTTGTCAAATTAAACTCAATGTTCTCGAGTTAAGCATTAAAAGAGGCCAGAGAAACTTTAGAATTGCCTTTCTTTCGTTAGCTGCAAAGAGAAACACTATTATCGTGTCGTTTTGACAGCTGAGTTTCAACTGTCTCTTGTACTGCGGGCGCAGTCACCATATGCGAGGTTTTTATCCACCTATCCAAATTTTGCCTCGCACATATTCCCCACCTTAGATTTTGGGATATCCTTTAAACGAACGCTTTACATTTGAATCTTGCCTAGGTTGCCAATGAAAACGAAGGCGACGGACTGAAACTAAATTTAAAAATTCGTGAAACATGCAAAGAGTTTCTGAAACCACCAGGACCCGTTCTCGCCACACTTCATGTGACCATCAGCAATGGACGACGGAATGACTTCACGAAGTGTAAAGAACTGTTGACGTTTTTAAAGGAGCAAGTTCTGCCAAAGACTGTGAAGCTGATAAACTTGAAGACGATTAAAAAAGTCAAAGATGAAGAAAAAAGAGACAGAGTCAACTTATTAAGCTGTATGAGGCCTGGGAAGTCAAAAAAGAGGTATGTTCCAGAGGAGAACCTTGATACACATGGTAACAAACCCTTATATGAGAAGGCCCTTTGATAACGGTATTCTACACCAAAGTAATCGTTTAATGCACGCAAAAGAGCTTTGCTATAACGAACATATTTTGCCGTTATCATGGTACTTTCTTTTATGGGGGATCCACTAAAATTGTAAAAATATAATGAAATAAAATTGCTTGAGTGAATGAGCTTCTACATGGGCGCGATACATGCATTATATATCTATACATTAGATCGGCTACCCGAGCTTGTAAGATGGGGATGTCTTGCCCGCTCGGGATTTCCCGCTGTATCCCGCAAGGATATGGTGTCCTCCATACCATACAAGAAACCTTTATTGAACAAGCTCGTTCGATGATGGTGACTATGTATTAGCCTCGACCTTTCTGGCGTGTTAAAGGACCAAAAACAAATCCTGGTCAATACCCAACCATACTGACCTCACGTTTGGTCAATAACCCATATATCTTTCTGCTTGTTCTTTTCTTCAGAAAAGACGATGCCAAGAAGAACTGTTCACGAGGTATCAGTTAGAAACTAAATAAAAATATAGCAAGTGTTCTTCACACTTACGCACATATGACATCAAATATGTTTGTTGGCCAGATTTAACCTCGTTATCTCTGCAGCTTCAAAAGGCCACTCCAGAGCTCATTGGCTTCTTTAGCAAAATTAGTTCAAGTCCTTGCTAATTTCCGTACACCAACCGTCATAATTTTCTACAAGAAGAGGCTCTTTTCCCATATTGCCCCTGTCCCTTTTAAAGCAAGAAATTTACCATTCTCCATTATTTTTTCTAGCATCCATTAATAAGATTATTATTTATTTATTTATCTATTCATTTATTTTTTTTTTCGGAGTGCCCACAATTAGTTATTTGAGCTAAACACTCCGACACTTAAATAAAGTTCATTCATTAATCCATCCATCCATCCGGCCGGCCGTCCGTCTGTCCGTCCGTTCGTTCGTTCGTTCGTTCATTCATCCATCCATTCATTTATCCAATTCCATCGCTAAACGTACCTGTGTATATCGGCGCCATCTTGAATACCGTCTTGAATATCCAGGGACCAGGAAGCGAGGCTTGGGGGAGAGAAAAAAATTCACCTAAGAGCCTACTCCTAGTATCTCGTTTAACTATGTTACTGTTATCGTACTACTTTCTTAATTTATTTTTTTCACAGGTTACTCCTCTGATACTGAAGGTTTAACACAAAAGTCTCTTAGCCTGCAAGGCATTTCTGATACCGATGATAGACACCAGACCTCAAACGCCGGTATCCTGGCCACGCCCATGCTTGTCCGTACAAAGCTATTACGCAGAACAAACCTTAAAACAAAGGAGGGCGCCGTGAAAGACACGCAGAAAAATTCCGGTAACGTAAATGTTGACGATGAAAACAAAGCGTCCCATCACTCAATGACAACTTTTGACAATGTCGGGACAACTCTAAATGAAGACCAACGAAAAGCTAAGGAGGAGAAAGTATGGTACAAAAAAGAGACACGTCCGCAATACGTGCAAAATAAACAGTCAAACAGCTCTATTAAAACTACTGGAAATTCTTTAACTGACAAGGAGAACACTTTAACTACAAAACAAGGAGGCTTCAACTTCGGACAACAAGATGATTTATTATTGCAAGAAGTTGCTCAAAACAGCAGCAGCAGTGTTTTGGAATTGTCCGGAGTTCAGAAACACAAGATAGATATCTTCGCAGCTGAGCACGTTGGTAAGATTTGCGAAACAGCCCTTTCAAAGATAGTGATGGAGAAATCTCAGGAGGTGGCAAAGGACTTTGTCACGAACGTTGTTAGTCTAGCCAGGCACAGAATTAATCTACAATCTCAAGATGAAGACGTTAGTTCTCAAAGCAGAGATAATATGGAAAAGAATGATGGATACCAAGAGAGTCCAAGCTTTAGCAAGGTGTGGAAGTACTCACAACTTTTCGCGGCCGACCATGCACATGAGATCCCTGAATCATTGAGACTCGAAAATTCGCGCCTAAATGGTAGCAAATTTGACACATGTTCAAAACTCCGAAGTAAAGGGGACGTACAGGTTAAAAACAACAGCCAATGTGATGAGATGGGCAATGAAGTTGTAGAATCACCAACGTCGAGTAATTGCAGCCTGACAGCAAACTCCTCCAATTCGTCAAGTCAGTCACTGGAACTTCATAAACCAAATACGAATAGCGATTCTTTGCCAACGTATGTGCTTGATAATGAATTAGATACCCGCTCTGAACTTAAAAAAGCGACAAACAATTCTCAACCTTTGCAAGGAGTGAGCTCTGAATTTGAACACTCACATGATGAGCAGGTCTTAGCCAACGATCAGCTTGACACAAAAGCGAAGTTTGACGAGAGTGCATATTCACTAGAAGGGGGTGGTGTGACCTCTGTAAGTTGTCACACTTGTGCTAAAGAAGTTCCCGTCGAAGGAAATGAGGATAGTAGAAAGACAGAATCGGAGAAAAGCATTGATATCGGCATTGTTACTTCTGTAAACGATTTGGACGAAACAAATTACGAGAAAGACTCAGAAAGTGAAAACAACACTTGTTCCCAAACTGATGAAAGCGGTTTTTGTAACGAATTGAACTCAGAAGAAAACGAAAGGGCCAAAAAAGAAGATGAACATGCTTCTCCAAGCATTTTTGTGGGAGACTTTTCCAGTAACGCAGCGACGAAAGAAACAAATAACTTACCAGCAAAGAAGCACGACAATGGTGGCAGAAACGAGTTCATCTATCGTCGAAAACCTCTTTACAAAAGAACTGTGTCAGAATCTCAAGCTTCGGAGAGAAGGCAATGGTGCGCTACGGAGCCTGGAGGCGAAGATTTGCAGGCAACTTTTCATGGTTTCCATTCCTCTTGTCGGCCGGATAGTACCGCGTCAAAGTTTGTTCGATCAACGTCGTGCCCTGTAGTATCAGAGGTAAGCAGAAATCTTTGCTCGAGTTTGGTTAACGCTTGGAACCACTCAATGAACCTGAGATAATCAGTTTTAGGCCTTAAGTTATTATAGTTAATTATTGTTCTATACAATTGCAAATCATAAATTTAACAAATTGACGTCAGTTTTTTATACGTCTGTCCTCTTATTGATGATAAATTGCGTCAGAACATTGTCAAAGTGGCTGTGGAACCACGAGCCGCAGGCGAGTCGTTCCGCAGTAAACTTTGACAATGTTATGACGTAATTTATCATCAATAAGAGGACAGACGCATAAAAAACTGATGTCAATTTGCTTTTCACAATAACAAGACCCCAGAATGGTCAAATGCCGGGAATAAATCAGGGGAAAAGACGTCGTAAACTTGCCGTAAACAAAGATACCGTACGTGAATTTTAATCAAAATGACGCGAGCATTGTCAATATCTTTTCTCGCTTTGTGATTGGCAACTTAAAAAAGTCCATAAAATCTCATTGGTTAAAGAGTTGACAGTTTGACAAATGAAACTTGAACTTGAAAGCTTGCATAAATTAACATTTTATCCGTGTGTACTCTTACTGATGATAAAAATGAGCCAATCAGCGCGCGAGAAATTAGACAGTTATTGTAAAAATGATATTTCATAAGGTATGTTCACACACTTTCATCAAGTTAAATGGCAGCTAAAACCATCCATATTCATTTGCAAGAAGGCCAGTTAAAGGGTACGTCAAAATTAATAGATCTATTAAAACGAGGCTCTTTACGGATCAAGAGTACCACTGATTAAGAGTTAATCATTATAATTGATAAACAAATCGAAGGAAAATATCGTTCCTCTCTCCTGTAACAAATACAAAGTACCAAGTCCATTCTAGTTTTTTAACGAGACAAATGCGTTACATACTAACTAACAACAGTCGATGAATACCGGCTGAGCTGTGGAATAACACACAAAAAAAAGATACAGCAGCACTGTCGTGTGGTTCTGATAGAAACTAAGATGGCGCCGCCCGCCTCGTAACATTAATAGAAAACGCGTGAATGCATATTTTGACAAATCGTTAACAAAAAATAAGACAGCTTCAGACCCTCTTTTCGTCTCGACAGTAAGATTATTTCATGTTGTTCATTTTTAGGATGATATACTGATTGAGAGCATGCTCAGTCATCATCAAGATGTGTACGATTCACTCGCCAAGAGAACCTGGGTGAGTGTTAATCCAATCTACTTGAGGCGTCTTGGTTAGTGCACTCGACTCCAGATCGAACAAGTATGAAGCGGCTAGGGGTGTTCTACCTCCCCCCCCCCTTTTTGATGGGATGCTAGTCCATTGCGGGTTACCCCGCAAGCTACAAATTTGCCGGTACTTATTTGGTACTCATTTTATCCACCTAGGTGGAGAGAGGCACTGTGAGAGTAAAGTGTATTGCCCAAGAACACAGCACAATGTCGCCGGCCAGGGCTTGAACCCAATCACTATTCAGTATTTTATTAACAAAGTGTCCAAGTCCGGTTTCAAAAGAGCACATAACATTTTCTTTCTCTTCTTGATTAGATCATACTTCACGTACATGAACTGTGGAATGGTGGGAAACCGACGGACGCCATTAAAACCTGCATCGAGCTGACAGGAATGGCGGATTTCGAGAAGGATCTGGGCACTACTTGTAGGTTCAACTCTCCGTACGCCCTGATGTCACGTGATTATGCACTATTTCTGAACATTCTTCAGCAGTTGCCAAGCAGCTGGTAAGATAAAAGAGAGGTGTACTTGCCTTCCTTCTAAAGTAAGGTCTTCGAAGGTACACTAAGAGTTCCCTCTCCCTCAGGGTCCCACGGCCACAGGTGAATGATAAGCGTGCGTATCCTGAAAGGTGACCTGGGAAAGAAGATCGGATTCTAACAGTCTTAACTCGTGCTTACGGCCTTGATTCATTTTCTCGCGTGATTGATAAAACAAGAGAACCTTTTCTTTTGGTTGTGGCGTAAAGTGAAGTGTCTACAAGCAAGGTTACTTCAAGTTTTTTAGTGACAGTTTCGTTAGGGATCTATCGATAGAAAATTGACAAAAAACAACAACAAAAAAACCAAAGTACTTGAAACCGTTTTCAAAGTCTGATTCTTTATCAGCATCCTGCTGATTGACTAAAAATTTATTTGAAGTGTATTTATACATGTAGCAGTGCGGACTTGTAAATGTTATTTGTCAAATCCGCCGAGCATTTAAAAGATGTGACGAAACTAGTTTATTTGAGAGAAAAGTAAATATATATCACACTCAGCAGCTATTTATATATCGTCTTTCATACTTCCATTTCGTTTAAATCCTCTAAAGAAATTAAAAAGAGCAACTGCCTGTGACATTTGAAGGTGGTAATGAGAGTTTGCATGTGAATCACCGGTTACAAAGCTATCGCTGAGTGGAGCTGTCCTGCAAGTATCTTGTAAAATAAAAACACTGACCTCACAGTAGGAAAGCACATTTCAATTTCAAACCTTTTTTTTTCTGTCTCATTTTGACAGCTCGATGTGGACACTAGATCTTTGTGTACTTCTCCTTCCAAAGCTTAAAGGATTTATTTCTAATCAACATCACACGAGGTATGGAACGACTCTGTCCAGAAAATATAGTTTTCATTTTTTCTTTTTGCGATCGTTCTAAGATCCTTTTTAAAATGTTTCGGAATCAGATTTAGAATAATAAAAAAATGATTTTATTGTCATTAGTTCTCATACCCAGCTGACCATCTTTACCTTAAGCTTGTGCTATAACGAGAAAGCCTCATATCATATGACTTAGTGTTTCTAGGCAAGCACCCTCGCCCACTCCCATTCTATAAATTTATTTTATAATTAAAACTATTTGCTTAGTTCTTCGGTCTCGTAAATATATCAATAAATGAAGGAAATAAAGGAAGCCTGATCGGAAGAGGCCTTCTAAAATCCACCTGGAGGAGGACTGTAGAGGCAGCACTTCAGGCCCTAAACCTTAACTTAGAGTAAGCGGCACGGCTTGCCAAGGACCGACAGAGATGGAGGAGTCTCGTTGATGCCCCATGCGCCAGTTAGCGACTAAAGGATAGCGGATGAATCGAAATTTTACCTTGCAAATAGTCTTGCACGAGCAAAATAAAAACGTTTATAAGAAAAAGCAAAAGAGAACGAAAAAGAATCGCGGACGTGAACAAGGGTCAACTATTATATGTCAGAGTTGACTTGTTCCTTACTTCTCTCTTTTCTCTTTCAGTCATGTTGATATGGCCTGCAGCATCATTCACATTGTATTGAAGAAAGTTGCTGTTGTCGCTCGTCGCACATCAAAGGGTAAGAAGAAACAAATTAAATACAGTGTTTCTTTCTTCTTTTTCAAGTTTACACGGCTGAAAAAGGAATAACTTGCAGTTTAATTCTGTTTATCCTGTAATTCACTAAGAGTGAAGAACACATATCTGGGGCGGATCCAGGTTTTTTGTTAGGAGGGGTGCACCATTAGGAATGGCGTAACTGACTGTTGAGGTAAACAACTTTCCAAAGCGAATACGAAGAAGAAGGCTTTATCACGGGGACGGGGGTGCGCAACCCCTGCACTCTCCCCCTAGATCCGCCCCCGATATGCTATAAGTAAATCGGACAAAAGTGTTTTCAACAACAACAACAACAACAAAAATAACTTTATTTGTACTCAGCATAGAAATTAGAGTTAGGGCAACAAAAATCAGTTAAAATAAAAGAGTACATGGCTGCCCGAAAAAACCCTAATGGGCTAATAAGACTGAGCAGCCATCCTTAGTGATTTAAAGTAATTATTAAATTATTCAAAAATTTCCTACCATTTTGTTTTATTCATTGCTAGTTTGGACTCAGACATAGACATATACAGTTTGTTTTACTTGGTCACACACATGATAACGGTGCTTTAGAAGAAACAAAACGCAAACCGCGGTGATAAACATGGAACCAAAACGCATGTTAAACAAAGTTAATTTCCTTGACGTTTCGTATGTACAACATACATCTTCAGAAGTGACCGTTAACTAGATTACAATCGAATTTAAACGCGAAGAAAAAGAAAAAGACTGGTATCTAATAATATGTAACGGTGCGTCCCATAGACTTGATAAGCAGAGTCTACAGGACGCACCAGCTAGTTTACAGGTGCTCCATTATTTTTTTCATATCTCTAGGATCAAAGAACAAAGAGAAAGAACAGAAGGTCAAATTCTGCACCAATGAGCTGAAAGAAATCAAAGACATGGCGTGTGACGTCATACAAGTGGTAAAATCCTGCAAGAAAAGCAACACAGAAGATTCCGGATCTATGAAATTAGTGCTGAAGGAACTTCAGTTAGCGTTAGGAACATTTTTGAGCAATACAACTCCTACCAATTGATGCCATTACTTAGACATCTATTTTGGTCAACACGACATTTCTTTTGTTGATATTCGTTCTGAATTTCTATGAACTTTAGCCTACATTTCAGGCTTTGGCTCTTAGTTTAGCTATCAGCTGAAAGACCTATCAGGAAATTTACTCATCGTTTGCTAAGAAACGTTTTTAATAGGCTTTATGTGTCCCTTCTTTGTTGAAAGAATCTGGGAACGAGGTAATCCGCTGAGAGAATTAAGTGCAGACTCGAGTGTTGATTCCCGTTTTTGCGCCTGCACTCACCTAGCTCTGCGTTTCTCCACAAACTCATCTCGAGCCACTGGAGAGAAAACTGTTTTAATGGTTCTTAGATCTTTAAGTTAATATTAAAAACAAGAGATAAATTTAAACGCAATATGGGACCTGACTAGAATAATGGTGATTGTTAATAGGCATTGGTAAGTCATTGAATGATATGTTTATCTGAGTTCTTGACGGTCCCGTAATTGGTATGGCATGAAAAAAGAAATGACTAACTGAACTTTTTTTCGGGCTAAAAGAAAGAGCTGAAATAACGAGATCCAAAATGTCGGTGATCTGGCCTAGCGTATTAGTAATAGTAATTGGACCGAGAGGAGTACAATTCAGGGAGTAATCGCGCGAGCAATTTCAGAATCGGACGAGCACGAAGCGCGAGGCCGATTTGAAGTACGAGCACGATTACTCCCTGAATTGTTCGACACGAGGTCCAGTTACTAATTAATCATATCTATAACAAATTTCGGTTAAAAATGTCTTTTGAGAACTTCTTTTGAGCGAAAACGTCTGTAACTCTTCTCATAAGTTATGAAAACTGTAGGAAACAGTGCGAAGCAAGCCATTAAAGCAAGCATGATTGACGTGCGAATCACGTGGGTATCCAATTACAGGTATCCAATTACAAAAAAGTTCAAATTGGATACCTGTAATTGGACACCCACGTGATCGCGCGCCGATTACGTGACAAATAGGCGCTCGGAGAACCAATCACGATCGAGAATTTTGTTATAGATACGATTAATAGTGGTAATGGGACTGAGTGGAGTCCAATTCGGTCTGTAATCATACTCGTGATTAACAAAATCAGACGACCGCGAAGCGGGAGTCCGATTTCTTAATCACGAGTATGATTACAGATTGAATTGGACGACACGAAGCCCTGTTACCAATTAATCAAAACTATGACAAAATTCGAGAGACGAACAAACCATCGATTGAGCGCTGAAGGATTAAACATCGTTATGAATGCTGAAAAACACAGCAGTTTACTCAACAAAGTGCACTGCAACAGCGCGAGCAAAATGACGCGTAGTCCAATTACAAGCAGGACGTGTACACTGTCCAATTAATGCTCAAATCGGGCTGCCGATAGCCAATCACGCTCGAGAATTTTGTTATAGTTTTGATAAACATGGTAATCGTATCTATAACAAAATTGTCGATCGTAATTAGTTCTTTGCGCGCCTATTTGTCACGTAGTCGGCGCGCGATCACGTGGGTGTCCAATTGCAACTTTTTTAAAATTAGATACCTGTAATTGGATACCTAAGCAATTCGCACGTCAATTACGTGCACTTTACGGGCTTCCTTGTTAATGTTTAGCTCTACTAACGTTGTCAGTCAAAAGAAGTTCCCAAAAAAAATTTTAAATTCGAAATTCGTTAGAGATACGATTAATTAGTTATTGCACCTCATGTCGTACAGGGTAATCCTGCTTGTAATTTCAAATCGGCCTCGGGCGATTGCTCCTTGAATTGTACTCCACTCTGTCCAATTACTATTATTAATCGTAAGGCAGGGTTATAATTGCGCTACCGGATGTGCACTTAAACCAGTATAAACACCGGAACACATAGGAACTCACCAGGTAATTCCTGGGTTTCACCCACGTGACTAATAGCTTAGCAACGGTTACTATCCGCCATCTTGGTGTCCCTCAAGCGTAAACAAAGCATATCCAAAGGAGAGTTCATGTGAGAAAGAAGGGATGGTTTTATGCGTTGTTGTCGGCTGTTCGAGCAAAAGTGGAAATCGTTAAGGTTTAGGGGGTTTGCGTATGCCTAAGATTATTACAAATCAAGGGGAAGAACAGGAGGAACTCATTATTAGGAGGAGAAACGAGTGGATTTCTGCGGTGAGTCGCGGCGACGCTACAAACAAGAGAGTGCTAGAGAGTGAACGAGTTTGTAGCAAACACTTCGCTCTGAAACTACCGGAACAGAGCGGCTTTGGTCGATAAATTGGTCAGCAAAAGGATCAATTAAATTTAAAGCTACTGCTTTAATTTATCACTGGTTGAGTTTGGCATAAAGCTGATCCATTTCCTCTTTCGAAGGTGCCGATGCGCGCTGTATTCGCTGAGGCGCCGGTTGATGCAGTCCCAGAACTAGAAGCTGCTGCATGCTTCGAGGCTTGCGGCTGTTGTTGATCCTCAATTTTCTGGTCGAACTTTTTTTTGAGCTTGTTAGCCGATAAAAAATCGATGTCCTTAGCCCTCGCATCCGGCACTTTATTGACATATTTCGGCAAAATCCATGAGCATTTTACCTGTGTGCAAGCCAGCTTGCTATGAATTCGTGTAGTTGCCTCTAAATAAAATAAAACACTCGCGATATATGAGCATGACTCAGCCAGTCCAGCTTTGCATCCCAACCAATGGGCTGACAAAATAGTCCCATCGTTTTCGGAAATGACGCAACTGTTCACTAAAGGATCATTCATACGCTGTGAATACCGAACACTTGCTCTCACGACATACTTGCCGGCGGTTACTTTGCCTACAACTGAGGTTTATTTAATTAAACGCCTTCAGACTCTTGGACGCCTTGAACTGCTTGTTGGTGTAGAAGCTGGTCTCAAGAACGAGGTAACTCAGCAAGCCCGAGACCACAGGAGGCAAGCATTCTGGACTGAACTGCTCGGCTGACCCCGGTGACCGAGATCTTTTGCGAATATCTTTCCTTTACTCGACTCTCTAAGCTTTTGGCATACTCAGAGAGCACTGGGATACCTTAAGATGAATGCCCGATACTTTTATCGTTTTTTTCTTTCTGGAAATTCATCTAGTTGTCGAAATAATAGAGCGATAATAGAGAAGCTTCACGGTAGAAATGGACTATTATTAGCATAAATTTGACACCCGACGGAGACCAACATGGCGGACACTGATTTGATCAAAGCTTGTGACGTCACGTGAAACCCAAGAATTCATGCCGGTCCCTTTCCACAGCCGTTAACCAGTTCCCCGTGGGGTACTCAACAATGTTAACAGTGGGAGGCTCTGCCCCATGGTCAAAACCCCAACCATTATTATCAAAAAAGGTAACCCTTTCATATACTGAGATAAAAAAAAAATGCATCTATCTTAAATAGCTACACTGACACTCTGCATCCCTTTTCTATACGCTTAGAATTGAGTAATGCGGGCTGTTTATACATATTAACTCGCGCAATCCATACTCTTTCATATTTATAGTTTATTATAGGCAGAGCCCACCCCCCGAAGTAAACAGTAATTCAGCCAACCAGTTAGTTATTAGAATACCCTTTTAGGCCCTTATCCAAGTTCTTTTTAGAACAAGCCCGGTTTTAGAAAGTCTAGAAATCTAGAAGGAGAGTCTAGAAATCAGTAGGTCAATCCTGTGCAACGGAATTCACTCCGGCAGAGAGCTCAAGTGGTTTTACCCGAAGAATTTTTATCGACTACTAGCCAGACTGCGAGCAGGCTCTTTGTCTTCCTAGCGTGCGACGCAAAGACACGAATTCAAAGCAAAAGAGCAATGATCGAGCGGCGAGAAGCGCATGCGCGAAAAGAAGGAAAAAAGGAAGGGACTCTTAAGGCATTGTCGATCTTTTCAATCCGCCTTCTTTGACACCCATTTGCTTAATAATTCCTCCCAGTTTGCAAAATAATATCATTGTTGCTCTTAAATCGATATAATGCCAGGTTTTGTAAGCTAACTCGAATGCCGATATGATTTCTTGGGCGAAGACAAAGCTTTGGTAAATAATTAAATTATTTAGGAAATAAAAAACATGTACTGTGTTTCTATCGACGAGTGGAAGTTTGGGAGAACGAAAAATGTTGTGGGAACACGAGCCGCAGGTACATGTACAGCTTTTTCGAGTTCTCCCAAACCTTCACGAGTATTTCTATAACTCGATAGAAACACGGAGAACATGTTTTCCCCTTCTTTTAGAAAACACCGCGACGAAAAAAAGGAAAACAACTTTTTAAATTTGATTATCGAACTGTAAATTCTCTTTGCTCGCGCGATCATTACGTAAACAACTCGTGCTAGTTCTGTGTTTCTATCGAGTTTGGAAACACTATTTTTAACCAATCAGCGCGCGTATTTTCTTAGGATTGTTTTCTAAAAGACTATTTCGAGCGGGTTTTCATTGAGTGTAGCCAAAGAACATATTACAGTCCCTTCTCCATAGTCAACTGATATTTTTTCCTGTCTTGCCTCATTGCCTTTTCGTTTCTTCCCCTACATTTCAGAGGATTTCAGAAACGAAAACCGATTGCTCGTACCACAGAGTTCAGACGCCCAGCCTTTTTGCGAATATACTTGCCATTCAAGAATTGAGGACTGCACAGACAGTCATCAACGAATCCATTAAGTGAACGTACACTGACAAGAAAACATCTTCACGAGGAACTGCCAACGACGACGAATCCACGTAACCTTTCTTGCAAGGTATTTTGACCTAATATAGTACTTCAAAATATCTCACTATTGCTTCTCTTTCCATCATTCAGGCTTCAACCTACTCGATTCGAAGGTTCCCTTCGGTCGTTTTATCTATTTTGAACGTCACTCAGGGGAACCGTGCTATTGGCTTCATCAGAATATCCTCGCTTATTCACCAAACTGCCTTCCCTTTTTCTTCAGTTCTCTTCAAAACTTTCTCAATGCGAAATATTTACCGCGAAGAATTCTGAAGCTCTCGCTCATTTAATGATGCTTTTATCTTTTCTTTATTTAAGTCTTAATTTTTATGTGACTTCATTCGCGTTTTGAATTTTATCATCAACAAAAATTTATCGGGTGTAGTTGGCATAGCCTTTGTGAAACGTCTTACTCTTGAACCTTGAAATTCTGATTTTTGGTCACCAACTTTGAATTTTAGATTCCTTGTTTCACCGCCGTTCGCATCTCAAGCCGATTAAAAAACGCAAAGTTGTTTTCGAATTCAATATTTTTATCTCTCTCTTCGACGGGTGACATTTTCGTGATCTGTGCCCTGCGGGCATGATTATTCATACAGTGGAACCCTGTTAATACGACCACCCTCGGGCCACGAAAAAATTGGTAGCATCAACGGAGTGGTCGAATTAAAGGGTTTCTTTAAATAAAGAAATGACGGACTGAGTTTTTTTTTTGGAGGGGGGGNGGGCAGAATAAAGTGGCCGTAATAACGAGGTGGTCGTATCAACGGGTTGGTCGTAAGGCGGGGTTCCACTGTACAACAGTTTAATTTGCTAAAACCTGTTGTCCTTGAGTTAAATTCGAAGCGAAAAATATTTTTAAGCTGTTCTTTCGTTCAGTTCCATCTTTCTACAATCGCGGATTTTTCTTCATTTTCTGCCGTGTAAATTCTTGTCCCAAGTTTCAAGAACTGAATGAACATTTTGCTGACAATCCTGATTTGAAT